AGATTGCATGTGTGAAAGAGATTATTCCTAATTCTAACTACACACGTTGATTTAAAAGCGTTCTAAATTTATTGTGAGTATTCTTACACTACAACAAGTAACTAACTACTTAATTAGTGATCAAGCAATAAGTAGTGTGGTGAGTATGTAAAATCAATCAAATAATAACATAAAAATCCTAAATTGATATCTTGAATTAAAATAAATGAAAATAGGGTTCAAACATTCATCCAATACAATGAAAAACTAGTCTAACATACGTAAAATTAAATTACAAAGGAACAATTGGAAAATCATCACCCGGAAAGAAGAAATAATGAAGAATTAGGAATTTTTCACGTTCTTGATGTGAATCTTAAAGACGGATGAAGAATTTTCAATATCCTATTTAATTCGCCTTGATTCCACGTTGTTAGCCATGTTCTTCGCTTCCAAAATATGTATAATATAGAGATTTTTAGGTTTAGGGAGGTCCTCTATATGTATTCTGCTGTTCTCTCTTTATAGGAGCCGAAAATTGGTTGAAACTTTCTCTTATGATATCTGATTAATGCGATTCAAAGTGCGTTGGAAAGATAACTTAAAGGGCTACAACTTTGATTAAAATAGAGTTTTTCCAATTCGGACGTTTACTATTCCAAAAATGGGTCCCAATGTTCGACTAAAAATCTGGAATATATCTTGAGCGACTAGAAATTGATTTTGATAATACTTTGATCATGTTCCATTCCTTTTTGAATTCTAATTTCATCCAATTGTCTCCTAACAATTTCAAAGTATCTTCTTGAGTATTTGCAATTTGATCCTCGAACTTTGGATTTTACCATTTTTTGCTATTTTTGCATTCTTTTCTCCAATTCTTCATCAAACATTGAGTTTACCTACATGATGCAATATAACATAATTTAGGTCGTATTTTGTTAAAAAGACAACAAAATTCTAGAGTTTCAAACCCCGAATAAGTGTAGAAAATACACTTGTTAGTAATCCCTTCTCACCTACTCTCCCACATAGTTTGAGTTATGTTTATAAATTTATGACAAGCTCTATTGGTACTATATCCATCTCTCCATCTGCCTTTCCTTTACTGACATTGGGTAAGGCTTTTTTTTCCAGGTTCATATTGCAATCATTACTTCTTGAAAATGCTTGCAGAAATTGGGAGGGGTTACTATGATGCTGCATTTGATATGGGTTGGTTCATTGTCCATTGCTGTGTTAAGTTATTTTTCTTTTCTTGTCTTCTCCATAATTCAAGTAAATGCATTTGGCAGTCTATTGGAATCTAATCCTGGTTTCATTGTGACACTAAACGAAATACTGAAATGGGAGTTCGCTTCCCAAATTAAAACCTTGAGATAATGTGATGATATGATTGCTTCAAATCCTTTTTTCTCGAACTCAAATTGCAGATGTAGGACTTTTTAGTTGCTTTCAATATGATAGGACTATGAACCAATATTTGTTGTCACTACATAGGTTTTCAAATGTGAATTTGTTTAGGAAAGGTCTTACTAGAAGAAGAAACAGAAACTTATGAGGAAGTTGATCATATAAACTTGCAGGACTACTGTCATTAGAACATAAATACATTCGTTAAAAGAAGATGACAAACAAAAAATAGCTGGTGATTTTATAAGTGTATCACTATCAATTCGTTTTACTAACGGGAAACAATTTCATGTGCCTTATCTTTTAAGGTGCCTCTTTTCTTGATTGGTGATTTTGGGGCTAAGCTTAAGATCCATCCTCCAAAGTATAAAGTTCATTCATTAGATCTCCCTAGGTTTTTACTTTTTGAGTTGAGAGCTCTGCTTCTTCAATTTGAATGAGGAGTATTCTCTCTATTCCAATTCATAGAACATCTTATGTGAATAAACTCTGGAACCTCCCATGTACTAAGAGCTTTAACTTTTTTTAATCTCTGTTTTTGTTGCCAATGCTGACTTGGCCCAGATTCGATCAACTTGCGGATGGAAAGATTTATAAACAATGCATCATCAGTCATCCTTTCAGATATAACTATTGATGCTTTGAAACATCTTGATTCGCTTGAGGTATGCTAAACCTGATCATAATCTATAACCCTCAAACCACCCTCCCCCAAAAGAAAAATATTAATAAGAATATTAATTATAGTATATAATAAAATTAATGTAAATAAAATCTGTTTGTCTTCCCCTATATTTTAAAATAAGATCTTTAAGTTCAGAAATTATCACACGACGCATTATCCAATATTCAGTTATGTGTTTTATCTGTTTAAGCATGCATAATTGTACAGGTGCATTAATAAATAAAATTATGGTAATGGACTATTAACTTGTTCACGTGCATTATTGAGGAAGTTAATGCCATTTGAAAAAAATAATAATAAATAAAATTAAAAACCATTTTGCTGCATCTATTTTATTTGTTTTGCATCGTCTACCTATGACATTTTTATGCTTGTTTTTCGTTGCAGTTATATCCACTTCATCTTCCAGACTTGCTATCTGGAAGCCCTCTATATGTGTTGGGAAGATATTGCGGGAACTTTCCAGACTCTGTTAGAGTCAGTGGTACCTTGGCAGATTTGAGCAATCTTGTGATAAATGCTAAAGTACAAAAAGCAAAGGATGTCCCTATTGACAAAGTAATGTTGCAATTTGTGAGAGTTATCATTTGAACATTTAACTATGTTGACAAATCGCATTAGTGTATGACTTCTGATTTCATGTTGTTGTGTCTTTTATTTTGGATATACGATACCGTGTCTTTCATTTTGATTTGATGATTTAATAAACTTTCAGAAGCAAAGAAAGCTGTACAGAATTACATGTATAAACCTCTACTTTAAGAGTAGCCATTATTTGAAACTTCTACAAAGTTGACAAATGCTCCATCCGCATGTTTAGAAATTCTGATTTTTAGTTATTTTATCTTTTGTATTTTGACGGTGATGAATGAATAAAAAACTTGAACAAAATCTCTAATGTTTCCTTTAGATATCAGCAGGTATTTGCAAGAAGACAAATTGATGCACTTACAGCTCATGCATGGTTGTCAGGAAGCGAACTAGAAGAGAAGGTATGTCAATGCATTCTCAATTTTAATGAGATATTGTACGACAAAAGTAACAAATGGATTGTTTAAAATCTGAATGAAGATAAATCTTAGTGGGGTACTAATTGACCGTTCATTCGAATTCATGCTGCATTTTTATGTATTACTTTTTTCTGCTTCTGCAAATCAGCATCATAGCAATTTCTTGCATGTTTTGCCCTATAATCTTTTTTACCATTCTCTGGTTGATACTGATCCGACGTCACAGACAATCTTCATGGAGATGAATTACATAACGGAAGGCATACTATTCTTTTCTAGCAGAGTATAAATGTTGTGATAACTCGAATCATGATGACCTAAGCTGTTCATATTTTATTAGGCTGCAAAAATGAGCATACATACAGCTGTGCGTTCGGAGTACACCAACATGATTTTAATTGAGACCGACAAAAGAAAGCTGCCATCCAAATCAAATGCAGTAGAGGAGGTAAGGTCTTGCACATTTTTTATAAGATCATCTACTGTAGTCATCCTCACACTGACCTGAGAACATAAAATCTTTAGGAGGAGCGATGGACCTTTTATCAGTGGGATAAAGAATACAATAATATCAAATTTATTATTTTCTCCATCTTGATAATTTGGATTAGCTCTAATCACTTTTAGTCCTCTAGTCTCTGATTGGCTTAATTGCTGCTGCCTCTTTTCACGTTAAGTATCCAAAAAACAAGTTGTGTTCAGAAAGAAAATTCTGATTCTTGTCAAAATAATCTTTTTATTAAAATTATGTTTTATCAAATTGATGAAACCCTTGACGGAATGGATTTGCAGAAAACAGGTGATTTCAAAGGGCAGAAGATCATAGTCCTGCGAAATATATGTATTGGCTTTGGTAATTTGGAGGCCACTGCTAAGAATCTTCCCCCAGAAAAAGCAGAACCCAAGATATTTGAAACTTCAACAATGCTTTACAGGGCCGCTTCAAAAGTTGGTAGGAGACTAGCCGATCGGTGTTGCTGCATGTGTTTTCTACAATTTTGCAATCGGCTTAACGACCAGTGTGCAATTGCTTTAACACAGCTGTGCACAGCACTTGCATGTTTTGAGTGCCTGAATGTTTGTTGTGATGTCTGTGATCTCTGTTCTTGTGATCAATGCTAACTAGTAGATAATTAAATAGTGCAAGAAAAAGGAAAATAAAATTTTGTATTGTTGTACTGACAGTATTGCATACTAAACTTTGTATTATGTATATACATATACACAAACGTGTTGTTCCCGCAAGTTTTACTTTTTTATCTTCGGAATGAAAACCAGGAAGTCTACACACATCTGATTTTGACATGAATTGGTTTGGATTGGGCAGAAGAGTTCCACCTCTGAGCATATCTTTATATTGATAGCTATTCCCGCTATACCATGTTTGCCAAAACTTAAATTAACAATTTAAGATGATCACACATTTTATACGACTCATAAGTCAAAACTACTAATTTATTATTTACATATTTTATAAGATAATCGATGACTCATAAATTTTTTGTTTGTCCAAAATTTTGGGTTACTTTTTTTTTATTGAACGTACAAATATTTTGTAGTTTTTTAATGTATCCCTATTCAATGTACTTTATTATCAACAAATATAAATTAATCATATTTAAATCATTATTTAATGTAAAAAAAACTAATTACATTTCCTTACTCTGTGTAAAAAAAGAAAAAATGAATTTTCAATTATATTAACGTGCACAGTGCTTTTCCTCCTCCTGAGGGGCGAAAATATATCTTCTTTTTTCACTCTCTCTGACCTCGAGCACCGTGCACGTTACTTTCCGCGCCTTTTTCACTGTGCACGTTACTTTTCCTCCTCCTGCCACCTTAATAATGTTTAAAATAAAATTACTGTTAAAAAATTGAATTCTTTTAATCTTCCTTTTTTCTTCAATTTTCACATGGATCTCCAATTCATTCGGTTGTTTTCGAGATTCTTGTTTCTGTTCCTTTTGGTATCTACTCTTCGTCTTCCTCACAGGTGAGCGGAATTACTATTCTAGGGTTTTCTCATAGATGTTCAGGTCTCTGTCATTTTGCTCTAGCTTATTAGTTTTGTTTTTACTTCATTAGCTGCTTAGTTAATGATTGCTAAAATTGGATTTTGTTGATTTGCTATGTGGTCTCTATTTTTTATTTTAAAATTTAATATGAATTTGTGTAATTTCATTTTAATTTTGACAAGTAATACTTATTTTTGAATTTTATTTTATTTTTCGTGAAATTCAGATTTTGAACTTTTCCTATTGAATTGTTCTTTGAGGTCCTTACATTGGGTAACATATGATTATTTTATCCTAGAATTTTTATTTCCTGTTTATTGGTTGGAAAAGCATAAATGAAAGAGACTGCTATTGGAGAAATTCTGAACGCATTGTATTGATGTACAAGGTAAGATTTATACATGAGATTTGAGTAATCTATTTATGGAAAAAATGTAACCTAAATCTACAGCTATCATTTTCAGAAAATTAAATAAATTACAGCCAAATCAAACAGATCCGGAAATCACGTTTGCGCAAATCTTGTTACTTTAATTGATTATGTTGACTCTGATTTGTTTGTGAGTTGTCTGTGCTATCTTCCTTGACAATAAAATATGTAAATGATTCAGCTGTAGCAAAGAGTTCAAGGGATTACACGTCCTTTGGTGATGATGAAAATATAACATTAACCGATTAGTTTACAAGCTTTTGATTTTGGCATTTCTGATTGCTAATGCCACCGCAGAGACAACATTTTCCTTTGCTATTTTATCAGAAGTATTAAATTTTGTGAAATAGTTTTAGCTGCATTTTCTCGAGTGGTTGAAGGTCGAAGTCAGCTGCTTTCTCCTATTACTTTCTGATTTACTCGGGTTTGTTTCAATAATGTGCTTAATAAACAAGTGTCCTTTTGATATACTTATATTTTATCTTTGTTGAATTTTTTAGTACCATTTCCTTAAATAGTTTTCTCACTCTGCCATGCCCTCACTCTCTCTTAATGCTGTGAGACGAATAGGTTATGGGCAAACGTCAGTGCAGAAAAAGAGAAGACCTTGGCTATGATAAAGAGTTGCTGGTAACTATACAGATGTTATAAAGAAAGCCATTTTGGTTTCTGGCTTCAGCATAACCCAGGAAATGCTGCTTGAGCTAAATGAGGAAACTGTTCGAAGTTTTTATGCAGAGCATGCTACGAAGAGCTTCTTCCGAAGCCTTGTCCAATACATGTCAAGGTACCAAATAATTTGGCACAATGTCAAGATTCTGATTTCTTTATGGATTAACGTCAATTTACGTAATAATAAACCCAAATACGTGAAGATTTTCTCTTTATCTCGCATGTTGGAAGATTTAGCACGCACATCAAACATATTGTAACTTTTTAAGTGCTACGTGTTGATTTCTTGGCATATGTTTTCAAAGATGGAAATTGGTGGAGTTGTTTTTTCCTTCCACCCTTGCTGAGAACAATAGGTCTAATAATGCTTGGACCATCTACAAAAAGTCAGTAAATTCGATGTTATCTGTAGTGCCTACTGCTGACTTTGTTCTTTTACTCTCTGTTATGAATTCTAACCTTTCAAAGGTTGGGTTACCACTAATGTTTTCCCTCCTCTCATTTTACTAGTGGTCCCGTGTTGATAATGGTTTTAGAAAAGGTGAATGCTATTGCTGACTGGCGTATTTTGATTGGACCAACAGATGCAAATAATGCTAAGGTTACTCATCCAAACAGGTTATTTATTTTCCATTCTTGCATCACCTATCATTTCATAACAGAAATTATGAAATTGGGTACTTTTTGTTGCTCAGTTCTTGTTCTTTTTGGCTATAATTTGTTGTTTTGGTTGTCTCTGCTTTTTCCCAGCATCAGAGCCATGTGCGGGCTGGACTTGCAAAGAAATTGTGTTCATGGTTCAGATTCACCCCAATCTGCTGATAGAGAGATAACCTTTTTCTTTAACGAGGCATCTTCAGGTCAAACCTTTATCTCAAATTAAATTCTTCAAAATATATAGTCCCTGTTTGGTACAAATTAAAATCTGATTCTAATCTCAAGTCAGTTAATAATTAATTTTAACTACACATTTCATGGGTCCCACAACTTTTCAACAATACATTTCATCAATTTTTTTCAAAATCTACTAAAAATTTGCTTTTAATCTACAACAATCAAGGGCATAGTTTTTCAAACGATTTCTCTGTATAATATTGTTTTGATAAGACCATTCAAAACATTGTTATATTATTTGAACTACTTGAATGGATGTTATTTATTTATTTATTTTTTAATAGGTAATCACGTAAATTTTGTAAATAAAAGATAACACACAAGGAGTGTATTATCAGGTTAAATAAGATAGAAACGATAAAAAATTCGGCAACCTTTCTATTGAATTAATGGTTGCAGCCTTAAACCAACAATTCTCTAAATTGCTCTGTCGTCCGTATTTGGCCTTCAAAGTGTCTGCCGTTTCTTTCTCTCCATATACACCAAACGATGCATCCTGGATTGAGATTCCAAACAAGCTTGCTATTNAACGAATACCTTCACAGTAAGTGAATAAGTGATCGATCGTTTCTCTATCCCTCTTACACAAATAGCACCACTCCATTATACAATATCCATTTCTTCGAAATTATCCGCCGTTAACACCTATCCCCTCACAACCATCTACAGTAAGAAAGCCACTCTGGAGGTAATTTACTTTGTCAGACCCTTTTCCAGGGGAATATACTCTCAATAGGTTCTACTAAGGATCTGAAATAAGTACGAACAGAAAACAAACCATTCTGTGCCGCCCTCCACCTGCTGCAGTCATCCTCTCCTACCTGAATGTGTGCCTCATACAGGGAGGCCAAAAAAATGCATAATCATCCAGCTCCCAATCATGTAAGCCCCTCCCAAAAGCGATGTTTCTGCTAGGATTCCCATTAGATATAGCTATAGCATCACTCACCATAACTGCAGGCTCCAGGGCAATGCGATGTAAAGAGGGAAACCGCACTTTTAATGTTTGATCTCCACACCAATAATCGTTCCATAATCTGACATTCGTACCGTTCCCCACCACAAAAGCCAACCTATTCTGAATTTTGCTCCATCCTTTCCTGATATACTTCCACAAGCTCATCCCATAGGAACCACGGCCCTCACCCGAACACCACCCCCCTCCAAGACACCATATTTCTCCCCAATAATTTCTCTCCAGAAGCTCTCTCTCTCTTCATTCCAAATCGCTCTAGCCACTTGCCCAATAAGGCTTTGTTATATAAAACAAGGCTCCTCAAACCAAGACCTCCCACCCTAACAGGGAAACAAACATCACCCCATTTGACCAAAGAAAATCCCTCTGCATCTTCTCCAAACTATTTGCCACTGCAATGGGAATAGGAAACAATGATAGAAAATAGGTTGGAAGGCTAGAAAGCGTGGATTTGATGAGAGTAAGACGGTCTCTTTTGGACAGATAAATACGTTTCCACCCCGCTAACCTCATCTCCATCATTTCAAGAATACCATTCCAGATTTGTTGACTTTTAAACTTTGCTCCTAATGGAAGTCCAAGATATGACATGGGCAACAACTCTGCATTCGAGTATGGCCGCTAATTTCTCCACATTAGCAACCTCTCCCACTGGAGTAACCTCATATTTGCCCAAATTTGCCTTGAACGGATGTTATTCAGTAGAATAATTATGGAATTCTGACTTGACGTTGCTTGATAATAGCATGCTGGCTTGATTTTGGTTTCCTTAGTGCTTATATGCATAAATGCTGTGATCTGCATTTTAAATTTTTTCTTGAATGGATTTTGGCATTAGGTTTTGAGTTGAGGTGGGGACTTGGTCTATTCTTATCTTCCACTACAACTTTGATATTTATAGATTCTTGCATGTGCAGCTTAACAATCTCTACAAAATGAATTTTATTTCCACATGTACAAATTATAAAAGGTGGACGATCCAACAAGATTTGTGACCGATTTCAACACAATCTTGCCTTTATCTAACTGATCAGAGAAGTATAAGACCACCACCACGGTACCACCTCCAAATAACAAAAATATATCAATCTTTGTCGTCTACTCTGCAAAATGTAGATTTTCAATTATATTTTATTTGTTGAAGTGACAAGAAAGTTGTCACTCTATAATTCTTGAAAACGCTCCATACTTTATATCTTGTCTTTCATTGCATCTCTAAGAGAAAAAAGACAGGCAATGAGAAAACATCAACCTTTGTCTCGAAGTACTTACCTTTGTAAGAGTATTTATCTATTACATTTATGTTTTGTGTTTATGTTATGTATTATATTGCTAGAAGGGTAGTCTTGTTATATTGCTTGTTTGGTTAGGGTAGTTTAGACATTTTCCTAGTTAGACAATTTAAACTACTGTATTCTTCATTTGAAGGTTAAGCATTTTGGTTCATTGAAACCCTGGCCACTTTCTCTCTCTGTTCCCTCTTTTTGCTTTGTTTCTTAAGATTATCAACCTCTTCCTATTCTCGTTATCAGTATAAACAATCGTAGCAACTGCTTCTTACTTTTAACCTTCTTGCAATATTTATAGTTTTTGGTTATGGCTAACCAAATATGATCAAGCTAAAAACATAAGCTCGTAAACATAGTTATAGATTTTCAACTAAAATATAATTGAAAATGAAAAGCTTTTGAAATATTCATCTGCCAATATTGAGAACTCTATATTTTCATTCTCATCTGAAAACTGCATTTGTGTTTTCCTCAGGATATGTTTCTAGGCATGATGAACTGTAAAGTTTAAGCGGGCTATGCTAAAAGTTATACTATCAATACTTCACGCATCTTACCAATATAAGTCACTTATTATGGACCAGTGTGGTGCTTTTTTTGGGTTACAGGAAGCCGAGGCCATCTGCATCCTTTATTAGAGGCCATATTATAGACGCCTTGTTTCTCATTTCACCATTTTTGCCTCTCATCTGGCTCTTTAATTGGTTCTTTTGTTGAAATACCCGAAAAGCTTGTCTGATTTCATCTGTATACCGTTGGTTTGTTATATATAAAGGCCTCTTTAATATGGCTCACGTGAACAAAGATATGCATTTGTCCTTATTATGCACATGCTTTTACAGTGGGGGCAATAGGATGTTGAATATATCAAATTTTCTACTATAGAGGTGCACTTCTTTGAAATGTAGTTTATTTATATGAATCAGCAGAGACTGCGAATAATGATAACATTGTCGTGCACTGAAATCTTAGCTGGTATGAAACTGCACAGATGTAAAATTTTGGATGCAAATTTAATTGTCATTGCACTTGGAATTGTTGTTGTGGGCTATGTTGGCATTTTGAGCTAGCATGTCTTCCTCGTCTGTCTGCTGCTGTGGCTATTCAGTAGTATAAATATTGACTGCCGTCCGTTTATGTGTATAAAAATCCCAAATAATCTATGCACTGAAGTAAAATGGTTGATAGATCATAATAGCTACTAGTTTTGTTTCATTTAAAATCACGCACCATTCTCCTGTTGTTAATTTCATCCCTGAATTTGTTCTGATCAGTGTTTTCCAGGGATCATCGTGTAACACACACATCCATTATAATATTTATGAATACATCAAAGATACATAAAATACGTGTGGATGAATAGGAGTTTATGGAAGGTAGAAGGCCACATCATTATGGTATGTTTGTTTAAATGAAATAAAGTTAGAAGATTCTATATTTGACTAGTCTTGTGGATTGGATTTGGAAACTCTAGGCATCTGGTAGTAGTCACGTACATAGATACATGCCTTAACATTTCCATTTCACTTTGCTTATGTGTCTCGAGAAACTTGAAAGCAAGTCGGAGAAGGATTGGATGACTACGTTTACTCTTAAGAGTGCATCTAAATGTACTTGTAAATTTGGAATAATACTCCGCTTGAAATTAAACAAATTTGTCTATATACTTTTTCACAAAACGTATTTGGACCGCTAGTGCTTACGAAGAATGTTTTTTTACATCCTCAAACACAGCTCCTCACTGTCTCCAAATGCCCACCTCACTTACGTCCGTAACAAAGGCAAAATACTCTGGCCCGGTAGAAATTATAATTAAAAGTTTAATTTAATTTAAAGTCTAATTAATTTTAAATACATATTTTATGGGATCCAAGTTTTTAGCTATATATTTCATCAATTTTATCAAAATTTGTTAAAAAATTGATTTTAATTCCCACCAAATAGGAGTTTAGTAGCACGTACTAAGAATGTTTTTTTAAATCCTCAAACTCAGCTTCTTACTGTCCCCAAATGCCCACCTCACTTCACCTCCATAACAAAGGCAAAATACTCTTGGCCGGTAGAAATTATAATTAAAAGTTTAATTTAATCTAAAGTCAATAATTAATTTTAAATATATATTTTATGGGATTCAACTTTTTAACTACATATTTCATCAATTTTATCAAAATTTGTTAAAAAATTGATTTAATTCTCACCAAACAGGGGTTTAGTATGAGGAATTAGTTTGAGCTAACCATTGACTTTGAGACAAATGATGTGAGGCATGATTTTTATACAACGACATTTTACTAAGCCACTTTTTTACAATCTTTTTTTTTTTTGGTAAAATGTAATTTGAAATAATGATTTTTTGGAAAATAAGTTGTTAAAAAGTAGGAAAAAGTTTAGAATTTACGTGTAGAATATTTTATTTCATGCATGTGGGGTTAATTACCCCAAACATCATTGAACTTTACCTAAAATTTCTATCGAATAATTGAACTTTAAAAAACTACGACATTCATCACTGAACTTTTGAAAACGTTACCCCATCCATCACCAAACGGATGTTTGTCAAGAAAATCGGGACGTTAGTGTAGCTGATGCTGACGTTAGTCTAACTTACTTATGCTAAATCTTAAAAGTGCTAGCAAAGTGTAATAATTTAAACATTAAAACATATTTTTAAACTTAAAAAAAAAAGTTTGGAATCGATTTCAACTTAAAACCCGATTCCCCCAAACACCAAATTAACCCAAATTCCCCCAAATTTAAACTTTATACCACTCTCACGTCAACAATAGGCTTCTTTCCAGAAATTGAGAGACATCACTGCAAATCAACGGTGCAAAATTGGAAATTGTTACGCCTCACCACCCAGGATGTAGTTAGAGTGTCACGTCACACTTCACGTGGAAAGGAAAGTAAACAAAGACCCAATTGGTCAAATGCAAAAAGTCAAAACAAAAGCCAAAGCTTCTATGCCGCACTATTTAAATGGCTGAAGTTTTTAAGCCGAAGCGTTACGTAAGAAATCAAAGAAGTCAAATCTCCACACAGAAGCCCACTAATACGAAGCTCATTCCAATCGAAGCCCAAAGTTCTTCCGAAGTCCCTAAAGATGAAGCTGCCTCTTACAAGATTTGTAGGAATGTTAGGTGTGTCGTCTAATGTATAGAGCGGCTGATCTGTTATCAATGTATTTATTGTATGATAGACTTAGTGATGTAAGACTTCAATCAAGGAAATGAAGCCATGTGGTTCTGATCCAACAGACATCACGTCGGCCAGAACACTATAAATAGGTGGTCTTTGTAAACTGTAAAGGGAATTTTTGGATGGTCTTTCGAATATTGATGATAACATACAAGAATACACTCAAAAAATGCATTCTCACTATATCTTCTCACTTGTTCTACATTTTGTAAGTTTTGATCTTAGGTTATCGACACTTTGTTGATGATTATTTGTTAGTGCAATTATCTTAGTCACTATCGTTGGTACTCGAACACTTTTGTCTCGCGCCATAAAACATCTCCCGCGTTCCTCCTTCCGATTCACCTATCAAAACGTGCTTAAAATTGTTTAAGTTGGCGTGAGTGGGGCCCATCTTCTGTTGTCGACGTTGGTGTTACATTTTCAAGGACAATAGATTGATGCCGTCTATGGAAAACTACACATTTTAGCTACGAAAATCCAGTGGGAAAAAGCCAGTTGGAAGCAACTTTTACTATGAAGTGATTTTCAAGCCTTTGAGAAAATGAGTGTTCTTGAAGAAAGAATCGTTGAGAAAGTCCAAAACTAACCATTTGATTGGAAGCCAGTCTAATCCTTGAAAAAGAAATAACATTTGTCCAGAAAAAACTTATTACCATGAGTTCAAAAATGAAGAATCCGCACCATGAAAGGTTAGGAAACACCCTGAAGAAGGGGAACTCTCACATGTTGTTTCGGCCACTCGCTGTCTACCTCACAAACAGCACAGACGAGGTGGGTATAGAATAGCTGCTAGGCTCGCTAGGGATGTGGTAACCATGGCCGCAAACATGAGAAATACGACACAACAGAACATGGCCATGCATGAACTGCTAAAGAACATGCAGGGCCAAAGAGGATATCCAGTTCATCCATACGCAACCCAATGAAATGCATTTCACGATCCTTCACAAGGAAATTACTACCACGGTAAATAGGAGGTTCAATGGCTGACAACTGTTCACTTGAAATACTATGCCGCAAGCACACGGGTCGAGAACAAGTAGTAAAGTGGACTTTTAGAATCCAAGTTGATCCCACAAAGAGTGTTGAATTCAATTATAAG